AACTATTTAAATTAACTATTTCTTTAGAGTTCCGGTTTGTTTTACAATAGTTCTAGAGTTCTATATCATATATGTTCCGTACGGGAGCTGTCGTCCGCACGGAACGCGAACGGCGGGCGGCTGTGCACCAGGCGCGTCCCGCGCGCGGGCGACTTCTGCTCGCCGCGGCTTCACGCCGCCGCCGCTACGCGGCAGCGCGCCGAGCCGGGGCCGTTACTCGCGGTTAAATTTCGGTGTGGCGCCTATATAAGACGCCGCGGACGCCGAATCGAGGCCTTTTGACTACTGTTGCACATCAGGTCACTGCCTCGCTGAGGTATTATTTTGCACTATATCTAGCTTCGTATCGCCTTCTTGAGTGCGTCAGCACGTTGGGCTCTTGCCTCGCTCGAGGTATACTTGCATATCTGCATTGAACTTTACTGCCTCTAGAGTGTCACTGACACGCTGGCATTCGGGCTTAGATTTCGCAGCCCTTTAGAGTGCCCCGCACGTTGGGCTATCGCCTCTAGAGTGTCCGAGGACACGTTGACATCTGTGTTACGAAGGGTATGGTAACTCCACGGATCTCCAACCTTCTCAATACGATCGAGGATTGAGAGAAGGCTTCGCGCGACCATATCGGATTACCTTGACATCTCCACTGCGGTGGATGTCTCTCTTCGCGACATCTCCGTATCGCACATACGAGGTATTAACGCTGACAGAACTTACTGTTGGGATCACGACTCCGCGCGAGTCGTCCTTGTCCTCAAGGACTTAGTCGCTGCCAGAGACGCAGCATACACACGCGAGCAGTACTCGCCTTCACGTCCGCACAGGACGTAGTCGCTGCCAGGGACGCAGCATATACACGCGAGCAGTACTCGACTTCACGTCCGCACAGGACTTAGTCGCTGCCCGGGAAGCAGCATATACACGCGAGCCGAGCTCGCCTTCACGTCCGCACAGGACGTAGTCGCTGCCAGGGACGCAGCATATACACGCGAGCAGTACTCGACTTCACGTCCGCACAGGACTTAGTCGCTGCCCGGGAAGCAGCATATACACGCGAGCCGAGCTCGCCTTCACGTCCGCACAGGACTTAGTCGCTGCAAGGGACGCAGCACATACACGCGAGCCGTGCTCGCCTTCACGTCCGCACGGGACTTAGACGCTGCCAGAGACGCAGCATATACCAAACACGGGGACATAGACTTCCGTCGGCGAATAACGTCGCGAATCACTTGCACCCCACGTCATCTTACGGGGCCGC